TTGCTCGTCCCCCTGAAAAAAGAAAAGGATTAGTATTGCCTAGAATACAATTGTGCCTGCCCCGACGGGCCCCGACCAGCAACCATGGCAACAATAACACACAATTTATGTACCAAATGTTACTAAAAGAGACTAATTCATTTTTTCTCGCTTGCTACACTCGCTCGCGAATAATATGAATAGACATTGCCTTGGAAACAATTGTGCCCACCCTTGACCTGCAACAATATCATTAAAATGGAAGAGTTTTTTCGCCCTCTCGCCAAAAAGGAATTGAATCGCGTTAAACGCGATTGCGTCCATCCTGACCTGCACCAATAAAAACAAGTTTATTTATTAATTTCTATTAAAAGAGAATTTTTTTTTGCTTGCTCGCTATGCTCGCTCGCCAAAATGGAATTGACACCGCTAACGTGCCCGCCCCAACCTGCAACAACCAGTTAATAATTATGTACCAAACGTTATTCAAAGAAGTTTTGGTGTGCTCATGCTCACCAAAACGGAATTAACATCACCTTAGACATGATTGTGTAAGCCCTGCCCTGCAACAAAAAAATCTGAAATTTATGAACCAATTATCATTACAAAAATTTTGCTCGCTCGCTACGCTCGCTCGCCAAAATAGAAATAACACCGCTTTTAATAATCACGTCCCTGACATGGAACAATAAACCAAAATTTATATACCATATTTTCCCTATAAAAAAGAAGTGATTTTTTTTGCTCGCTCGCTACGCTCGCTCGCCAAAATAGAAATAACACCACTTTTAATAATTACGTCCCTGAAATGGAACAATGAACCCAAGTTTATATACCATATTTTCCCTATAAAAGAGAAGGGATTTTTTTTGCTCGCTCGACAAAATAGAAATAACACCGCTTTTAATAATCACGTCCTATAAAAGAAAAGTGATTTTTTTTTCGCTCGCTAGCTCGTTGAATTATGTGCCCACCACTAACCTGCTACAATATCATTAAAAGAGAAATGTAGGGGGTTGCCTGCCCGCCAAAATGGGATTGACATTGCCTTAAACACGATTGTGCCCGCCCCCTACCTGCAACAATGAAACAAAATTTATATAGCAATTCATTGAGAGAAAGATGTATTTTCGCTCGCTAGCTAAAATGGGTATAAAATCACCCTAAACACAATATTGTTCCCGCGCCCTGCATGGAACAATTAAACCAAGTTTAAGTGGCAATTATTAAAAAAACGGTGATTTTTTTCTTGCTCGCTACACTTGTTTGCAAAAAAATGAAATTAACGTCGCTAAAAAGTTAATGTTCCCACCCCCAACTTGCATCAATACCAGTTTATATACCAAACGTTACTTAAAGATTTTTTTTTTTGCTCGCTCGCTCGCCAGAAGTGAAAATTAGCATCGCCTTTTTTGTTTGTTTCGGTCGCTTGCCCCCCCCCCTGACGGAGTACCCCAGGTACGCCACTGTCAAGCCCCCTTATTTTAGGGAAGTTCTAAATTAGTATTATCTTTCAAATGCCGTTGGAATTTTACCTTTTCATTTGTTGGGCCTGCAAATAAGACAAAGGGTAGGTATAAGGAATTGGAGACCGTAGGGAATTGGAAACCACCAAGCTTGAACCCATCACTGTCTGCCCGTGTTGGCTACAATATTGATTTATCGCCATATGTGGCCTTTAACAACACTACTGCACATATTTAATTAATTTCGAAGACTACAATGCGTCCTTCTCCAGGAAAATTGGCAAAATTGACTAAGGGAAGCAATTTTGATCGTAAAATTTTGCTCTGATATAAAAACAGAATTTTCAATGGTGTATGCAGATATTTAGGGGCTTTTAAAAAGTAGTTTTAAAAGAAAGTTTATGAAGTGTGCCAACCATCACATAAACTTATGGCCATTGCAGTACACATTATGAATGGTGTCTGATCAGAGATGTGTGTAGATAATGGGAGAGACTAGTTCCACGATGGGGTCGTTTGTTGTGAATGTCGAGTATGCCGAGGACAGTCACTGACCCGATGATGGTTGGTAAATTGTCCATGTATGGACATATTTTAGGCCACATTATTTTAAAATCGTATGTAATAATTATATTGGATAGTTTTTATAGCTCACATATCCATCACGCAAGGTACTCAAGGTGCCCCAATATTACCCTGGCTTTGCAATGCTACCGTTTTTGGTGCTCACATCATTTCAGGAAATCTATGCAATCGGTACTCATTTATCACATGGGTGGGGAGTGGCAAATATTGATGAGCATCTCGCGTCAAACGACACTATTGCCGTGGCGGGACTCGAACCGCGAACCATATGATCCACAGTCCGACGACGTATCCACTAAACCACGACATCTCTACATGTCGTGTCCTACTGAATCCAAGTAGACCAAAACACTGTATAATCCTATAGATAGCTCTGAATAACTGGTAGGGGATCCGCCTTCAGTTCCAACCGAACATATCAATATAAATTTGCCATGAAGTCTCTTTTTCGATTTCCCCAATGCGTAGTCTGATATAATTCCATACATTTTTAAGAATGAGTGTAACAACAGAAATTTTAGCAAGAACAATTTCATTTTCACATTCTGAAACTGCAAAAAGGAATTGTTCAAATGTTTGGACAGTCATTCATTTAAAGGGAATACATAGTTTAGGTATGGGGTCGTGAATTTGGTTCAAATGAACATATTGGAAGCATATGCGATCCTACTATATTCACTGATCGTTGTAGCGGTCGAAATCGACTCTAAAGTTATGAAATTGTAAACAATAAACACTTTAAGTCGTATAGCTCCCTCTCAAGGTCAAGATATTAATTAAGCTGTAAAACAATGTTTTTGACTATAATCGGCCGATTTGCTATTCCCGTTCGGAAATTATATACCACAACTACATATTCTGAGATTTTCATGGTCGCAGCTACCATTGTACGGCCGTAGGAGCTATTTGAAATTTATCAAAATTTACCGGGAGCACCGGTAAATCTTTATATTCAATTTTTCTCGAAAGCAGAAGTGTTTTAAGGGCTAACATTTCTATTGTTTTTAATATATCCACAGGGGCATCAAAATATATCAAAATTGTAAAGAATCACTATCCACCCACTTTTTCAAATTTCCCAAAACTTTGTAATACCTTTAACAAGTAGTTTGGAATTTTTGATATGAAATATAGAATGTAAATGCTTATGATTAACAAATAATACGATTAGAACTTTCTCTATATTTTCTTTTTTCTTTTTTTGCAATAACAGGCTACACATCGCTGTTTTGGAGAAATAAATAATGTGTTTGTTACGCGTTTTGTTTTATCAGAATTGTGCCTCTGTGTGTGTGTGCAGATGAGGGCGCTACGCAAAATATACACTCTCGCATAATTGAAATATCACAGCATGTCATTTTTGTAATTTGCATTCTTTTCTTTTCTTCGTGAAAGGTGAATGGAATAATTCGTATTAAGGCACTTAACAAAAATGTATGCATTTAATTCGTTTTCGAAAATGGCTTTATACAGAAATTTCATTTGCTGAATGTAAGCCTCATCTTATCCGTATTTTTGATTTGTTTTTCTTAATATTTTTTCTCTGTCAATTGACAACAAGTTTGAAATCAAACGTTGTAGACTCCTTCATTTTGTTAGAAATAAAAAGAAATTAAATTTACAAGTTAACACAGTTTGAATACGTCAACAATGTAAAATTTTTATTAGAAAATGCTTAACAGACACATTCAATTTACCTTACACTAAATCAAATGTTCTCAACTCATGCACATTTTCAAGAAATTATGAGAAAAATAAAGTACAACTTAACACAGTTTAAATAAGTGAAAAAAACATTTACAATTTAATTTAGAAAATGCTTAACAGCTACATGCAATTAGCCTTACAATAAATCAAATGTTCTCGACTCTTGTATTTGTTTAGAAATACAAAGAAAAATAACGTACAAGTTAACACTGTTTAAATTCGTAATAAAATTTACAATTGAATTCAGGAAATGCTTAACAGTTACATACAATTAGCCTTACATTAAATCAAATGTTCTCGACTCTTGCTTTTTTATAAAGAAAAAGAAAGCTAACGTACAAGATAACACATTTTCAATACGTAAGAACATATACAATTTTATTAAGGAAATGCTTAGCATACACGTACAAGTTACATAACATTATCCGTTATTTATAAGAATTAAACATATTTTTTTGGCATTCCTCATTAAATTTCAATTTTATTTTGTTCTATTGGTTTAATTTTCTAAATACAATACATTAATAAAAAAAGAATATGTAAACGTAAGGTATAGTAGAAATAAGCAAAGAACCATAGCTTCATGACATACTGTAAGTAACATTAATATATAAACATATGATAACGAACGTGATAATTTTATAATGTAGTATAATCAATACAAGTAATAACCTTACTCTTTTATCTCTTCTTCTTCTTCTTTGAGGTCCGGAGAGCCTAATATCCTCCAGATTCATGGCATTTATCTATTTATTCAATTTCCAGGTTCACAGCAACAACAAAACAATAACATACATAGCCAATGAAAGAATACAAAATTGATGATTATAATAACAATACAAATATAAACGAAAACAACAACCAATGCATGGGGATTGCCCCAAAGAAATATTAATTTCTTAAGGCCTCTCCTCATTGGTTGCTGTTACTACTAAAATCTATATCCTCCACCGAAAATATACAAATTATTTATATGTTTTTACAAACAGAAATTTACCAGAATAATGTAAAGAATGTGGTAGGAATACAAAATAATAAGATTGCTCAAAATATTATTGTACTGTAGTAGGCATATCGGGAAGATGACAGTGTAAGACATTTTCAAATGGCTTATCTGACCAAAGTATGAATAAAGTAGGCAGCTAAAGAACGGACAAGTTTTCAAAACATGAAGAAATGTGTTTAAACGGAACGTACGCCCTGATATTATGTATAGAAGGACAATTGAGAGGGAATATTCAATTTAAAGTTTGAGAAAAATCCGAAAGTTACGCATTTTTAAAGTTCCGATCAATCAAACACAAGTTGCCAGCTGTGTGATGAATCCTGCGACGTTATCTCCCATTTTATCTGAACAACAAATCAGTCATTTTTAGTTTACTTTCCGAAAAAATGTTTAGTTATACATGCGCCCTTAATATAATCATTGCAAATACTTTTACTGATACCAGCTTATTATCATTTTGTATTTTCTAAGTAGACAAGAGTATTTAAAACGATTTCGTGATTAAAACAAAAACATGTAATATCAGTCAATTTGGCTTGGGAAGGTGCTGTAAGTAAAGAATATTTCACTACAAAACGGATGGACAAATAAACCAGTCTGTTGTATATGTATTATGTAGGAGACAAATTAAAGAGAACTAGTCGCTCATGATTTGACGGAGACTTTTGTACCTTTTAAAGAATATAATCTAGTATAGTGTCTGTGCACAGCTTATAATGATTTAATATGGTTCTTTTGACAAAGTAACCACACATAATCGAGTATTGGACGACAGAGTGAAAATAACATTATGTTTAGGATTACTAGATTTCGAATTTCGAGTATTGACTGTATGACGCTTAAAACCAGTCATTTCAGAACATTTAATCACCGTGCTCCTTAGTTGGTGTGACGAACTTAAGTCATGTGATATAACAAAAACTTTTTCCCATCACGTTCTTCGTTTTTGCTCTTTTCTTCTAATTCTTTCTAGCCTGGGAAGAATCTGTCCCTCAGGTCCAACAGCCCAGCCCTGGTGAGGGCATCCTTCAGCCTGTCCCGTTGCTCTATGACTGCTGTTCTTGCCCTCCAATCCATCAGCATCTGACGGGTTCCTTTAGCCGTAAGGTGACCTTCCAACCTGTTAAGCTCGTGATACCGTGACTGTGACCCCTGTGTGATTTCCAGAGTGTGCATTAACCTTTCAAGGTGTTCATCAGTCTCGATTTCTTCGGCGATATCGTAGAGAAGTTTGTCGTCAAACCTACTTGGTGTAGCTGGTAGTCTTGTGGATAAAAAATGTGAGGGATTCTTTAGATAACGTGAGCATGGTGTATTCTATGTGATAGTAAACTACAACTCGCCTTCCCCTCTCATTTCCTCTACCCGTTTAAAAAAGTATTTATATCTAAATTTAGATAAGTCTCAGAGGGTGAAAATATCATTACTACGCAAAACCAAAAGGGGTCGCCATATTTTTCATTTGGTGACTATTAGAAACACCTCCAAAATGGCTAACAGCGGATTTTGCAAACCTTAGTTAAAAATACTTCTTATTTATAATTGCCCTTAACAATTATTTCAATAAGCGAGTTCGTAAATAGCTTCGGAACGCATGGCCCCAAAATATCCACAGATCTTTTACACGATGGATACGTCCAACTTGTGCATTCCAGAATAATCACCGTAGAAGTGATGGGGGTGCTTCATGAATACCTTTTGTTTGTACCTTGAGAAGAATATTTCCACCTGTGTATTAGATAAATGTACTGTAGGTGCATAAATGAATACTGATTACAAAACATTCATGAGCTCGATACCAGTATTCGTCTCAAATGGTTTTACAATTCATGAATGAATGACCTTTATCTGCCCATGCGCAAATCCTAATTACGAACTCGCTTATTGTTCATCAAAATATCTAATTGAACAAACTTTAACAAAGAGGCCATATCCATCTGCATGCAACATGCAAGGCATTACTTTTTTGCTACATGTCTTTTTAAAGAGTCAACATTAGTCCAAGTATTATGTTTGGATATTCCAAGACCTGTTCCTATGTCGGTCTTTTGACACATCGGTTCTGTTCCACACCCTTGATCGTAATGCAATGAAATCAAAGTTCTCTCTCTGATCTTGTTATGGGTTATTAGCGGGAGCACTGTCGGGTATCTTGTTGCATGCTCTTATGGTGGGCAAAGCATGCCAATATTCGTACAACTATACAATTATACGACTTTATGAATATACAACTAGACGTCACTCCACCCATCCAATCAGAACGCAGAAAATTTTACAACTTTACAACTTTACAACTATACGACTATATGACTAAACGACCATACGTATATCCATCCATCGAAGTACCCTTGAAGCAACAGCGTGTGGGCCGAAGTACCATAATACTGTACAACTATACGACTTAACGACTATACGTCTATCCAGCCATCGGATAGACGTATGATTTTAATCATTAATAATACTGTAATTTTATTATGTCTTACTCCGTTCTCATTCGTTTCTTCGGAGACGCCGATGACTCTGTAGACGACGATGTGGCCCCCTCTGGTTCCAATGAAGTTGCAGTGAAAGGCCATGATCTGCACAAAGAAAGGAACAGGATAAAATTGGTTACACTCTGCGAAATCTAGTCCTTACTCTCAGTTATACCGTTAATTTTTCGAAATAATTAAATTGCTAGGGACCCTTTAATAGTAATAATAATAATCTGGTATTATATTTATTTATTTATCTATTTATTTATTAGTTTTTTTTAGTAGGGTGGCTCCATCATTAGTAAAACACAGTTTTCCTTGATACGAAATATCATCTCCTAGCGTTTTACAATGCCTTTGCTAAACCAACCATAATTGCTTGGAAAATTGCTTGGAAGGGTTCCAAAGGAAGCTGATATACAAATTAATTAATCAAAACTCAATTAAAACTACATCACCTTCAGCTAAACCCTTAACAACGCTGAAGGTTAATACTAGCAGTGGCGAAGATCTGGCCTTAGCCTCGAAGGCAAGGGGGAGGGAGTGATTTCCTGACGTGCACAGGCGGCCCTTCAGGGGGTGGCACATTACCCCACTTTGTCAAGTACCTAAAGGTGCCCCATCCCCTTTCACCTCTTATAAGTGCCCATTTTTGTTTTACAACTGCCCCTTTTGCCTCGATAAGTGTCTCATTTCCTTTGCAATAAGTGTCCATTTTCTCCTCTCATAAGTGACCTTTTTACTCTCCAGTTAGTGAACCTTTTCAGGTACAAGAATTGCCCGTTAACACTTTCGATAAATGCCCTCTTTACCTCTGATAATTGCCCTATTTATATTTGAAAGGTATCCCTTTTACTTTGTAAGATGTGCCCCCTTCTTCTGTTTTAGAGCTACACCTTTTTAACTCGGATAAGTGCACCTTTTATTTACACATGTGCCTTTTCCCCTTTCTAATGAGGGCCCCCCCCTTTTTTTTTTTTACACGTGCCCCTCTTTATTCTTAATAAATGCTCTTTTTCCATCTTATAGGTGCCTTTTCGCCTTGTGATAAATACCCCTTTTAATCTCTTATATGTGTCCCGTTAATTGTAACATATGCCTCTTTTTCTTGTTCATAAGAGCTGATGAGTTTGAGGGTCTTGGTAAGTGTCATTTTTAACTTCTGATAAATGCATCTATCAAAATCTGATGGGTGCCCCTTTTCCGTCGACAAATGTCCATTTCCCATTCTCATAATTGCCCTTTTTCATCTCTGGTGAGTACCTCTTTTCAGGTGTAAGAAGTGCTCCATTTTCCCCTTTGATAATTCCCTTTTGTACTTTGATACGTGCTCTTTTTCTTTTATAATAAGTGTATGTATCCCTTTCGATTAGTGTGCCCTTTTCCTAAGAGTAATTTCCCCCCCAATGCTCGCTCGCTATGTTCGCTCGCATTTATAGACGGTAGTATGGAATCAATGAGGGACATTCTTGTACAAACAGCTGAAGGGACATTACCTAACAAGGAAAAGTAAAGTAAACAGAGATGGACGACAGAGGAGATCCTATCAAAGACGAGTAAAAGGCAGAAGATCAAAGGCAGAGATGGAATTGAATACAGAGAGTTGGGTAGAGAAACTCACGACCACTGCACAATAGCTAAAGAGGAATGGCTGAACAAACAGTGCGCCGAGATAGAGAAAAGTTTTAATCCAATCAATACCATGGTTTTTAAGAAGGTAAATGATTGAAAAGAAACTTCGGAGCCTCAAGTCGGGATGCATCAAAGCAGAGGATGGGTCAGCAGGCGCGCCGGAAGCAGTTTGGGATTGGGGGGGGGGGGGGCAAACATTCCAGGGGGCTCACCTTCCAGGGGCAGTGACGTAATGAGCAAAAACCTTTGGAAGGGGTAGGGGGCAGAAGAAAAATCTGCATCACAACCACTCTTATACGTTACATGCAGGCCCCGCGGAACGTTTTGCAAAGTGGAGTATTAACGATCAGGTAGAGCGTAAATTGGCTTGGGGTCCAGGGTCTGAGCCTCGGCAGGGGGTCAAGGGCCTGAGCCCCCGGAAGCTCATGGATTTTAGTCATTAAATTACAGCCAGATAAGCATATTTAGATACCTTATTTGTGACACTGGCAGGTCACTAATTCGCGGGGAGTCCAGGGAGGAGAGCCCCCGGAAGCTCAGGGGTTTTAGGTATTTAATTACGATTATATGAGCATCCAGGGGCCCTCTTTAAGACCATTGATGTGATCCAGGGGGCAGAGCCCCCGGAAGCTCAGAGGTTAAAATATTTAACTACGGTCAGATGAGCATCCAGGGGCCGCCTTAGGGCCCTTTGTGGGGTCCAGGTGGCAGAGCCCACGGAAGCTCGGGGGTTTTAGGTATTTAATTACGGTCAGGTCAGCATCCAGGGGCCGCCTTAGGGCCCTTGGTGGGGTCCAAGGGGCAGAGCCCCGGAAGTTCACGGGTTTCGGTTATTTAATTACGGTTAGATGAGCATATTTAGATACCTTATTTGTGACACTGGCAGGTCACTAATTCGCGGGGAGTCCAGGGAGGAGAGCCCCCGGAAGCTCAGGGGTTTTAGGTATTTAATTACGGTTATATGAGCATCCAGGGGCCCTCTTTAAGACCATTGATGTGATCCAGGGGGCAGAGCCCCCGGAAGCTCAGAGGTTAAAATATTTAACTACGGTCAGATGAGCATCCAGGGGCCGCCTTAGGGCCCTTTGTGGGGTCCAGGTGGCAGAGCCCACGGAAGCTCGGGGGTTTTAGGTATTTAATTACGGTCAGGTGAGCATCCAGGGGCCGCCTTAGGGCCCTTGGTGGGGTCCAAGGGGCAGAGCCCCGGAAGCTCACGGGTTTCGGTTATTTAATTACGGTTAGATGAGCATCCAGGGGCCCTCTTTAAGGCCATTGATGTGGTCCAAGGGGCAAAGCCCCTAGAAGCTCAGAGGTTTAAATATTTAACTACGGTCAGATGAGCATCCAGGGCCGCCTTAGGGCCCTTTGTGGGGTCCAGGGGGCAGAGCCCCCGGAAGCTCAGGGGTGTTGGGTATTAATTACGGTCAGATGAGCATCCATGGGCTGCCTTAGGGCCCTTGATGTGGTCCAGGGGGCAGATCCCCCGGAAGTTCGGGGGGTTTAGGCATTTAATTACGGTCAGATGAGCATACTTTGATACCTCATTTGTGACATTGGCAGGTCACCTTTTTTTTTTCTCTCTCTCTTCCTTTCTTTTTTTTATATGTGATTTAATTCAAGTCTTTATTATTGTTATGTTCTTTTGGGTTAAAAATACAACCATCTTTACCTCCTTTAATGCTTTTTTTTTTGGAGGGGGGGGGGGGGGTTTGGGGGGCAAAAATGCGTTTTGACCCCCCACTTCCGGGGCCTATGTGGGTCAGTACTGGTTTAAAAGGAAGAGATAATGAACAGATGGACTGAGTACATTGGCGAGCTTTTTGATGATATAAGAAAAGAACCTCCACATTGTGCAGGATCTATTGAAGGATCTAGGATTCTGCTCTCAGAAGTGTGGTCGGCGATCAGTATGATGAAGAGGAACGAAGCTGCTGGTAGTAGTGATGGAGATGGTCGAGGCATTGGAGAACTAGGGTGTCATGAAACAAACTGGAGTCATAAATAAGATCTATGATGATGGAAAGTCCACTTCAAATGTTATTAAGTTAAACCGAAAATGGATTTTTTTTTTGCCCCATTGATCGTGAGTCCGGCAGCCACTGGTCAGCGCCAGATCGACGATGCTCTATCCATTAGTGTTGAACGCCAAACAAGGTAGCAGCAACTCCGTCTTTTAACGTCTTTTGGTATGACGCGGCCGGGGTTCGAACCTAAGGACCTCCCGGTTGTGAGGCGGACGCTCTACTAACTGAGCCAACACACCGGTGACACTTCCCAAGAAACCAGGAGCAGTGGAATGCGGGCAAATTAGAATCATCAGTCTCATGAGCCATATCACAAAGATAATATTGCGAGTTCTACTTCAGAGAGCAAGGAATCACCTAACTCCAGATATCAGTGTGCAGCTTGGTTTTGTCAAGGATGCTGGAACTAGAAATGCTGTTTTTGTTCTGCAGTCTACAGCAGAAAGGGCCGTGGAAATGCAGACAGATGTTTTCCTGTTATTATACAAAAGCCTTCGATAAAGTAAGACACAATCGGCTATTTGAAGACTTAACCACGATTGGACTAGACACAAAGGATGTAAAGTTATTGCAAAATCTGTATTGGGAGCAAACAGCATGTGTTAGAGTGGAAAGAGAATTAAGTGACAACATCAACATCAAGAGGGTGTTCGGCAAGGATGTGTCATGTCTCCAGATCTCTTTACTATTATTACAGTGAGTTGATACTTAGAAACGTAGAACAGGAAAGAGGATTCAAAGTAGGAGGACATAATATCAAAAACATACGGTATGCAGATGATACTATATTAATCGCAGAATCAGAGAAGGACCTGCAGCGAACTTTTGATGTTGTCGTCAGGGAAAGTGACAAGAAAAGATTATCGCTAAATTACAAGAAAACGGAATGCATAATTATTACTAAGAAGGGAGGAATACCATGCTCTCTTAAGATCAACAACAATCTAATATAACATGCCACTACTGTTATTTATCTAGGAACTACAATTACAGACGATACAAGAGGCGATCAAGAAATCAAGAGAAGGATTGCACTTGCAAAATCAACTTTCTCCAAGTTAGAAAACATATTGAAGAATAAGAAGCTGAAGATGAAGACGAGACTCCGTGTACTCAATTGATATGTGTATTCAGTTCTGATGTATGGACGTGAAGCTTGGACCCTGACATCAGACCTAAGAAAGCGACTGAAAAGTTGTGAAGTTTGGTTCGTGAGAAGGATGCTTAGAATTTCATGGACAGAAAGAGTTTCTAATGATGAGGTATTTGCCATGGCAGAAACAAGACGAAAGCTTCTGAATAATATAAGAGGTCGACAGCTGAGCTTCTTGGGTCATGTTATTCGAAAGAACTGTTTGGAAAATCTTGCACCGACTGGAAGAATAGAGGGGAGAAGGAGAAGTGGTAGAAGGAGGATTCTGTGGATGAGTAGCTTAAGGAGTGGGATATCTGAAAGTGGAATTGATCTCGGGGAGAATGAAATACTTCATAGAATATGGAACAGAGAGTTGTGGCATTCCATAGTCGCCAACGTCTCGGAACATGGCACGTAAAGAAGAAGAAGATTATTATATGTTACTCACCAAAGACCTTATCAGTATTACGTTATGAGACTGTGCTTGTAACCCCAGTCTTATTTTCGCACTGCGACCTCCCATTTTGTTCTCTTACACGCACAGTGTGTGTGTGGGGGGGGGGGGAGGGTCTAAGGGGGATACCCTCCTTTGAAGAAAAGTCCATAATTACCCAACAAGATACTAGGAAGTGTTTTCATTTATCTCTCTTGCGGACCTAAACAAACTAAAAACACATTTATATATGAAGTTCAAAAGTTATGGAATATTTTAAGTAGTGAAATAAAAAAAATGCTCCGTCGATTAATACTTTTAAGAAAAAAGTGAAATATTTTACAATCTTATAGACCTTTTTTTTTTTAACTATGTAGCAGTTTATTTTTCCCCGTCCTCGTGTATTTTGTTTATTTTTTGTGTTTTTCGTGTTTTTTGTCTTGTTATTCTTATTAAAACAACAAGACTTACTCGATGACTAAAAACAGACTTTGATTCATTATGTTACCCCTCTCGTGCACATCCCCTTTTTACAGCGCATTTCTCCTTCCTCATCATCTTCCCTACCCCACAAGCAGCCCATATCGTTTAGTGTAAAATACTCCCTTGTCCCGTTCCCGTCTCTATTGCCCCCCCTTCCCCACACCTGTTTGTAGTTTAACATAAGAATTTGTAATTTTAAGTACCATTGGAGGGATCCTTAATCTTACAAGTATTGATTTTGAGAGGACCCCTCTACTTCAAGTATATATTTCTTAATTGCTGTAAATGATTATAGTTGATTTGTAATTCGACTGCATTGAGAAAGAAACGGTGTGGAATTGATCAGAAAAAAGTTGATAATGTAGCATATAAGTATTGGTGTGTACTGCAAGGTTCTTGAATCATGAAAACGATGGGATAATTTGGCCCAATCTTGGTTAAAGTAACAAGCCCTGTATTCTTCACCTCTCCCTAGAACTCAACCTTCTCTCTAAAGCTCTTTACGCTGAGCCTTTTATCATAAACATCTGCATAGCATTGAGGTATGATTATAAAGGTCACCCACCCATCCCACCCCACCCCTCCTTGGCCAAATTTGGGGGATATATCTCCCCCTCCCCCCCCCCCGGATCTCCGCCTTTATGAATACTAGGAACACATTCTTTATTACGGAAGGTAATTAATACATTTATAGTAAATCAGCGCTGAAATCGGCGATGTCAATCGTCTATAAATTTACTACCGTCTGTTTCACTCAATTTTATTAGGCTCTGACAATAATTATCAGAATAAATTCTGTACCAGCAACATGACTTTATGAAAGATCGAAAAACTCCGTTATCTTTTCTCTAACGACTGAAAAATGACGAATCGCTCATTTTGTACCCAACAACTTGGGTAAATGAAACACTGTACTTGCAAAACTCGAACTGTTTAATTAGAAAAAAGACAAATTGTGCTAATAACGAATATTTCTTCGCAATATTTTTAATTATGTCTTTTTTACAAGTTTTTGATTATTTTTTAGTTTGCAAATTTCTGCCACATCATGTAAGATTAAGATATTACCATAACTGAAACTGTACTTTTATTATGACTTACTTTGATCCGATTTGTGCCATATCTCTTCTTTCTAAAGGCGCTGATGACTCCGTAGATGACGATGCGGCCCCTTCTGGATCCATTGAAGTTGCAGTAGAAGGCGGTTGTCTGAAAAGAAGGAAAGGTTTTAAGTTGGTTGCTCTCTGCGAAATATAATCCCCACTCTCAGTTATACTGATATGTATTGGAAGTGTTTAAATGCTCTGGAGGCTTTACTCAACCAACCATAGATCATATAAATATGAAAGGGTGCCAAAGGGAGCTGAGTTCAAAAAAAAAATAAAAAAATTAACTATAAAATCAAAAATATATCAGTGTATAATACAACCGTAAGATATCGGACTGACACCGAAATAGGTTGAAAAGTGTTGTACCTCGTGCAAAGTATCAGTTCCCTCTCTGATCTTCCACGGAACGAAGGTGACAGCCAAACACGCTGCCGAGAGATCTCTTTAACTCTTATCATGCCATAGGGCTAATCCCCATTGTGCCAAGCCCCAAATCCCTCAGTGCCAAGTTTATATTGAGATAATCTGATTAACGCGATGGTTCTATGAATATGCAAAACACACAGCACACTACAATGAGCATGAACAATGACTGCTACTACGACATGTACGAATGGTGTGCACGCACGCACATGGCACCATATCAGTGGTTTGCTCGCATGACCAAAGCACTATAACGATAGCGTGCATGCAGCCACATGGCAGGCTATGAGTTAAAGAGAGCATACCTTATATAAATAAGCAGTGAAGTCATGCTACTGCATAACATAATCCCTCCATTCAAGGGCAGATGTGCACAATTTTGGAGATTTTGTTATTTGATTAAACGTGATTGTGTTAATTTGCAAGTTATCATCGAATGGTATTTGTCAGGGTCTCGATAATTTACTTACATTGTAGAAGCTTTATCACCATCTGCATTGAGACAAACAAATAAATAGATAGACATATACAATTAATACCTATATAGATCAATACAATAGCTTTCTTTTAAACAAACTTAAAGTGCTTGGGAAATTTAGATCATCGCAAAATTCGCTACAACAAGAAAAATTCATTTTAAACGTTATAGATGAAACATATTTATAAGCCCATAAAAGAACGATTACTTTTTCCCACGAAAATCATATACAATACGGGTCACGCTACTAAGGATATTTTATATCTACAATGCTAACGATTATCATTTTAAAAGATCGACAAGCAAAAGTGAGTGTTTTTTATTCTTCGTTTATCATTAAATAAGTTGAAAGACTGACCAGATGTCTAATAGAAAACGAAGACAATTTTGAAGTAAAAACACAAACAATAATGGGGAATTCATTGCAGCGTAGTTTAGTGAAATGAGAGAGAGAGAGAGAGAGAAAGAGAAAAGCTAATGAAATGTACGTTTGAATGTAAATTAACATCAATGGTATTTTTCATGTAAGGAGACCAAGATATAAACCTGAGAATTTCGCTTTGAAGGCATGTCCCTCGTCACAATGAGGATGAAAGTTGAACTTGAAATGTACATCGGCATTCCCAGTCGCTTTCACCAAAAAAGTGACAACGTTTCGATCCAATCTATAGAGATCATTTAGTGATATGGTCTTCATGTGTGAGATAAAAACAAACACAGGAAATAAAGAAAACAAACATAGGAAAACTTTCAAGAAATCAACATAAAATTATTTAAATAGCGTATTGCATTGCATGTAGAAATCACGTTCAGATTATTTTTGTAAATTCCAAAATTATATAAAGTTAACATAAAAAGAATACCAAGGAGTAAGGATTTAAAATCGGAATTGTGTAGTAATAATTTTTCATTTCTTCGTTCCTCTCAACCCCCCCCCCCCCGCCATCCTTGATAACATCACACGATTTCCCTGGATTTTAAACCATGCGTCCTTAAATGAGCCAGCGTATAAATTGTTCACGTACCTTTTCGTTCTCGGTGACATGACCGCTGTCGACCTCGCATCTGATCTTTAGTTCGCCTTTCTCCCAGAGCACGAACATTTTCTTTGTCGGAGCCATCTTGCGATAATCGAGCTTTTCTTCCTCTGTTTCGATCAGCTAATTATATCGATTTTGTACAGCGAAGAAATAGAAATTTGCAAAAAGGACGAAAGAAGATACGTTGAATATTTGTGCCTTTTTATCATCGATTACATCAATTTATCCTGCATTTCCTTTTTGAATAGTTTCGCTCAATTTTGAAAAAGATGCATCATATATTGGTACACCTTGGAAATTTGATACTTTGGTAATGTTCGAATTCTATAATTAAAGGTGGACTGATTGAATAAGGGCCTTTGTTGAATACGATTGGATGTAAGTTTAACTATGTCACAGTATCAAGAAATAAAGATCGAGACGAATATGATTTTCACATATTTGAACAAATACAATTCTTTATAAGGGTACGAATAATTCAGTCTGTAACTTCATATATATATGAATAACCTTACATGTTGTATTAACAGGACATCTCTATATAAAATTTAATGATACAATAACAGGACATTATACACAAATGCTATATCACCCTAACCCTGACGCTAACCCAACCATAACCCTTACTCTACATTTAAAACAATACAAATAATTAAACTAATGACTAGTGACTTCTTTGGTTATTGAATCATGTACATATTTAATGTATAATTTAACTTTCATTTAATTTTCACGTTAAAATTTGTATTACCTGAATGTACGATCTATTACATGTAAGGTACATAGGAATTGCGTATCATTATTGTTGTCTGTAACTAATTATTTTCATGTATCAGGCATAAATGCTCATTTCTATTCCGCCCTATCTCCATTTCCTTCTTTTCTAAGCACATAGGGACTCTCTTTGTGTTAGTGATATGCGCTATACAAATAACGTTCATTATTATCATAATTATTAAACCGATTGTTTCTTTGGAGGCCTTTCGGTTTCCTCTGGCTGCAAACGTACGTAGAGGGCATTATTGATCAATCGTACCGTCTCACACGGCCATGTTACGGACCTGCGGATGCCTGCGTATATTTGGATAATGAAAATGCGTAATTTTTAACCCCAATACGGAAATTTGAGCAAAAGTTACCTATATTCTGCGGACGATACGGATTAGTTACGGATGTTACGTATGAATTACGGATGTTACGGGTAAAACCTGCGGATGAACCCATCCGCTGCCAACCCGCTGACACATGTTACTGACGACTTACGGATGACTTACAGATTTTACGGATGACTTACGGACGATACGGATGACTTACGGACGATACGGATAAGTAAAGGCCCGGTCCCACTGCACTTACGGATGCAAAGAGGATGTAAAACGTAAAAAAATCTTGCCATCCGTTGGAAAACGCTATGCATCCATTCCGTACTCTTTGCATACGTGTTTCATACGCTCTATCCATCGAGCATCCGTCCACTGTGATTTCATCCGCGCAAAAAGTTTTGAGCTGCACAAAACTTTTAGAACGGATGAACTTCCGCCGTGTACGATGTAAATCCGCGACAAATACGAGCAACAAACGTTCTATGTCCGTTATCATCCGTTAAACGTCCGCTGTATCCTCTCTGCATCCTCTGGGCATCCTCGCAACTCACATCCGCTGCAGCTGAAAACGGAAAGAGGGAGGAAAGATAAGGTACATGGAACGTCTATACATCGTTAGTAGCACGGAAATAGAAAGGATGTAAGCGTATTCATCTCGTATATAAAATATTCAAAGCTGTCATCCACTTCCATCCGCTTTTATCCGCTAGGCTTCCGATGAACATCCGTTTAACATCCCCGCTACATACAACCCACATCCGTTATTTTCCGTACTGTTTTCGCAAATTTTCGCAAATTTTGTCCATTTCTGGAGCGGATGAAAACGGATGGAGCCACCCGCGAAATTTTGCTCGTCCGCTGTATCCTTTATGCAAACGTTTTGTGACCGTCGGCCAGTGGGACCGGGCCATTACGCTCGTGTCTGCGCATGTCGGCTTCCTCTGGCGTCCGCACCATCCGCATATAAACCCACGTGGTTCGGAGCTTGCTTCAGTCGCATTTCATCAAGTCTGAGATCTAGTTCCAGTTATTCAACAGTTTCTTCTCCATCTTTTTGGACTTTCGTGTGCATCATGTCTGGCAGAAGAAGTAGCAGAAAAACCAGGAAGAATCCTCCAGTGAGTGAGCAGCCACAACAGCCTCCCCAGGCAGAGGAAGAGGCTCAAAAGGTAGAAGAAGAGGGACCATCCCTGGCAGAGCTGACGGTTCCCCCACCCCCCAAAGATGACCGTGGCAAGGGACGTGGAAAAAAGGGCAAGGCAAGGGACAAGAGGAAGCGTAGAGGTAAAAAACATCTCTTATTTTATCTTTTTTTAGTGCCATTTATCTTTTTAGTGCCACTTTTTTTAGTGCCACTTAGTGCCAATTTGAAAATGGTGATTTTTGGAATTAAATTAGTGCCACAGATTTAAACATTTTTCAGCTTTGCTTGTTGGCTCTTAAACTTGTAAAATAATCCAATAAATAAAAAAAAAAACTTTGGGTTGGACTGGGGGGTGGGGATTTTTTAGGGTTTGGCTGGGGGTGGGGGTGGTCTCATATTTCCATGGTGATGGCAGCATTTATTATTTGACACATTTTCACTATGTTTCAGGTTATAATGAATAATTTCACTTTCAGGTTAATACTTGCTGCTTTATCCAATTTTGTTTAAAACTTTGTCATCTGTTTCTTTTCAGATTCCCATGAAGACAGTGATGCTGAGGAGGTCCAGTCGGAGGCAGCCCAGGAGGAGGCAGACTCGGAGGATGAGGCAGAGTCAGAGGTGCCTGTGACAGAGAAGAAGCGGAGGAAAGCCAAGGCCCCAGCTGTGAAGCTGACCCCAGAGCAGGAGGAGGACATCTCTGAGTGGCTCAAGCTGAACCCTTGGCTGTGGGACAAAAATGTAAGTTTTCAAAGTCTCCATTTTATTTTACAGCCCATTTCACCTGACTGGGTCCAAAAAATTGATACCTACTTTGCAAAGTTGCTAGCTGTGGAAGGTTGCAACTTTGCAATCTTGGTAATAAATATTGTCACCAGTCATGTGAAATATACACTGTAATTTAACAAGATTAAGTTGGACATGTTTACCTTGGCTAAAAACTTTGCAATGTTGGTAACAAATATTGTCACCATTCAGGTGAAATGCAATGTAATTTACAAGGTTATTCAGAGACAGACAACCTAGGCCACAGACTTTGCTTTTATTTGACTGTACTCATTTCAGGTACAATATTTAATGTTTAATGTTTAATATTTAATGTTTCTTTCTGTATGTTGCAGGAGAAGGACTATAGGCTCCGAGACACCAAGCAGGGCGGATGCAATGACAAGGCTGCAGAGATGGGTCTGACTGCAGCCGAGTTGCGGCGCCGTATCAAGACTCTGAAAGACATTGCTGTGAAGGCGCTGAAGCCTCCCCCCTCCGGTGCAGGTGGCAGGATCTGCACCCCCCAGCAGCAGAGATGTGTGGAGCTGTTTGGCTTTTTGGCCAAGAAGGTGGTGAGGAGGCCAGGCCGGACCACACTGAAAGTAAGTAATCATTTGGGGACGGAAATTAATTTTGTTCTTCATTTTTCATTGATTAGTATTTGTAAAAGCATTTTGCTCAATATTTTATTGGGTGAGGGAAAAAATCCTAATTTTATGTAAATCTGTCTTCTGTTTCCTGTATTTACAGGGAGTGCAGCCCAGACCTCTGGTGCAGGTGCAGGAGGAGGTCCAGGAGGAGGAGGAGGGCACGGACGAGGAGAGCCGGATAGAGCTGACTGGTGACATCCCACCACAGCCCCGGAGGAGGGACAGGAGGAGGGGGGCTGCCATCAAGGAGCATGAGGACCTGCTCGAGGCGATGAGGCGCAGTCTGGCTGATTCCTCAGCCATCACTCAGAGGGTGGAGAGTGCACTGGGGACTGCTGCCCCTCCCCCCACAGACCCGAGGCTGCTGGAGAGACACACATATGGCCAGTGGTTGATGTCCATCCTGCCCAGCATAGCTGATGACCACTGGTTTGCTTTCAGGCGGGACATCAACAAGATTGTGGACCACTTCCAGGAAATCAGTGTTACCAGTCAGAGGCCAGCTGCCCAGTCTGCTCAGTCAGCCCAGTCACTACAGACAGCACAGCAGGGTATGGCACTGTTCCACGCTATGGATCAACCAGCCACCCAGACCTCACAGCAGCAGCAGCAGCAGTTCTTCAAGGTGTGTTGAAAATCACTTTTAATCATTCTTTCTTTTTAATGATACATGCCAACAGTGCAAGTCTTCAACCTACCAAAGATGCCAAGTGATTTACAGCTAAAATGTAATTTTGCTTTAAAATTTCAAAGTTACCAATTTCAAATGTGTGTAATATTTGAAATGTATTTTATGACAGTACTGCCAGACAAAATCACAAAAGTTGTTATACAAATAAAAGCAAATGTGACTTTAATATTTGTTATCATTCTATTTGCAGCCTCCTTCTACCAGTCAGTTTGTCTCCACCTCCACCTCTTCCACTTCCTGTGAGCAGATGCCAGACTGGCAGAGGAAGTACCAGAGAGCAGACCAGGACTTCCTAATCCCTAAGGGGCAGACGACCTTCACCCCAGCCCAGCTCAGTTACCTCCCAGAACCCAACCAGGTGACCAGGATTGTCAGGGTGCAGCATGTGCCACATGCACATCAGCAGCAGCAGTTAGTTGTACCAGGAAAGTTGCCACAGAAGACTTTCGCACATTTACGCCCTGTTAGAGTGCCCACGGCAACTGCCACTGCCACCACCGGAGCTGCCGCCCTGTCTTTCAGTCCAGCTGTGAGGCAGGAGCGGTCTCAGTCAGCCCCCAGCATGCAGTCAAGCATGGACTTAGGTTCGAGCACCCCTGAAGCATCTCCATTGCCAGATCCGTCCCCTCAGTCGACGGGACTAGGAGATTCATTCAGCAGCCTCTTGAAGGACTTAGAGTGATGTGTGTTCTATCTTGTGAGACAGAGACTCTCCAGTATTATTTAAAATATGATTTGCAGAATACTTTGTTTTTATAAATGTTTACCATAATGTGCTTTGATAGATTTACAGACTGCTTGGAGATATACAGACTGTTTGCAGATATACAGACTGTTTTTTTTTCTTCAAAGAAAGTCTTTATTCAATATTTCTCCACAAATCATATAACGTCGGTGGGCGTCCAAAATCTCGTAAGTCTGTTTTTTTGGAAAACACTTATGAACTTTTAGAAGCAGTATCACTCGACTAATTATCTGTCAAAATCTCGTATACCATAGCCAATGGAAAAGTGGATTTCTAACCATGTGACAAGATGGTATACGAGATTTTTACAGATAATTAGTCGAGTGATACTGCTTCCAAAAGTTCGCAAAAGTGTTTTCCAAAAAAAAACGACTTACGAGATTTTGGACGCCCACCGACGATAATCAAATGCAAAATGCATGTAATACATTACAAACAATATTATACATGTATAGAAAACAAAATATAGCAAAACAAAATTTAAATAAGCTCGATGTGCCTCGACCCATCAAGATGTACAATACACTTATTTCGTTGCGTGTTCATAACGCGTTCTATCTCATGCTGATATTTTAATTTCTTTTTAAATGATGAAAACGATAAATAACCATTTAAACACCTAGTTGGAAATATATAATATTTAGCATATAAAATATCAAAATTAAAAGAAGAATAATTTCCACCTGGTATGCCATATACAAAATCATTAAAAGATAACATTATTTCACTTTTGAGAGTGTATTTTTCAAAATCATCTAAAAATCGACGATTGAAGGGGCATTCCCAAAATAAATGGGCAATAGTTTCAGAGTGTTTTGAACAAAAAGAACACAAATTTAATATACCAACAGTTTTCAGATACTTGTTAACACCAAGGATATTATGAAGAATTTTATATTGTAAATATCTAAGTTTTCTTGATAAAGAACATTTAAAAGGAATCATATAAATTTTGTCCCAAGTAACAATTGGTTTTGAAACAATGATCCTCCATTTGTTTTGTGAAATAGGAGTTTTAAAGATTTTCTCAACACAGATTTTATAAATAAATTTACATCCTTTCGTTACCTTGTTCAATTTTTTTGTTGTCAAATTTAAGCATCAAGAGTTGCATGATTTGTCTGTTTGTTATGTTTGGCCAACTGCTTAGGCCATGCGCTGCTGCCAGGGAACTGCTCCGGCGGTGCCATTGTAGTAATGCTTGAGGTACAGGCGCTGGCGCTTGGCAATCTTGGTGGTGTAGTTGCCAGCAAGCCTCTGTTGCATGTCATCCAGCACGCCCCCCTCTCTCCATGCACCCGGGATGATGTTGTGCTGGTCGTCCTCTCTGTCCATCATGCCATTCTGCTCAGCGGATGCCTGGTCTCTCAGGAGGTTGTGGATGCACAGGCAGGCGAGGACGATGGTCTCCACTGTGGAAGGCACCTGTGCCATAGCACTCAGAAGACACCGGAATCTGTTTGCAAGAATGCCAAAGGCATTCTCCACACATCTCCTGGCTCTGGAAAGTCTATAGTTAAATATCCTCTCCTCCATGGTCAGTGGCTTGGCACCAAAAGGTTTCATCAGGGTGGTGCGTAGTGCAAATGCAGCGTCAGCAATCACGAAATAAGGGATGTCTCGATCGTCATGAGGCAGTGGCTCATCTGGTGGTATTCCAATGTTCTCATCGTCAATTGCCTCTTTCAGACTGCACGTGTTCCAAATCTGGGCATCAGAACTCGCACCACCTGCTCCCACCTCCACCCACCGGAACTTGTAGTTGCCATCAACCAGGGCAAGGAGTACAATCGAGTTGTACCCCTTATAGTTGTAGAACTGGGAGCCACAGTTCGCGGGTGCCTTGATGCGGATGTGCTTGCCATCTAAGGCTCCCAGGCAATGGTGGAAGTTCCACCGGTCGGAGAAGGTCTGGGCAATGCCCTTCCACCCCTCTGGAGTAGATGGGTTGCTGATGGTCTCCTCGCCATACTCAGCGTAGATGGCCTGACACACGTCCAACACCAAGAGTGAGATAGTGTTGTGGGGTACATAGAATAGGTACATCAGGCTGTGGTAGGAGTCCCCACTGGCAAGGTAGCGCATGGTGATGGCGACCTTCAAGCCTACTGGAAGGGCCTTCCTGTACCAGGTATCATACTTCTGTAAGCGAGGAGTGAGGCGGGTGACCATTTCGGCAAACATGGCAGGTGTGATGCGGGTGAAGTTGCGGAAGCCCTGAACATCCTCATTGCGTAGCAGGTGCATCAGGTTACCATAGGCACCCTGGTGTGGTCGCAATGTGATCCAGTGACGAACCCAACACATCCTCTCTTTTCTCCTTTCAAGGATGGCTTGCATCTTGGCCATCAGGATCTTCATCTGCATCTGATTGTGTTGGATGGCCATCAAACAATCCAGCAACACAAGGCGGCGTTCTCTCTCCATCTTGAGTGACCTGTGAAAGTCTACAGTTGAAGAACTGACAATGATGAGGATGCTGGCAGCATCCAGGGTTTCATACCCAAGTGAAGACCATTTGGCATGGGCGACATCCGCCGAAATGAAAGAAGACATAGGTAAAATTTCCGCATATTATCCGTATCTCAACCGTAACATACATATCCAATCCGTAACATCCGTATCCCATCCGTAATATTCGTATCCCATCCGCAAGCATACGCAATTACCGCAAGTCCTATCGTAAGATCCGCAATATATATGTCAAAAATACGTTAAACATACGTAATTCCTACGTAATAGTGTTTACGTACCCCTATGTATCCGCAGGCATCCGCACACCCGACAAAGTGTGCGGATCAGTTACGTATCTAACGTATCCTGCGGATGAGTTTACGTATCTTACGTATGAGTTACGTATTTTACGTATGGATAACGTATATTCTGCGGATGCTTACGTATATTTCATCCGCAGCAAAATTTTGAGATTTTCAAAATTCCGCTGCGGATCTGCGTATGTCTGCGGATCCTGCGGATTGAATTACGGATGGATACGGATGCTTACGGATGATACGGATCCTTGCGGATGCTTACGGACTTTTATCCGTAAGCATCCGCAGCTACCGTAAGTGGCCGTGTGACTGTGCCATAAGCGCTTTACGGATAGGCATAATTAAATAATTCGAATTACCATGTAACACGATTTTGTCATATACATTTATGTATATTTACACACATATATATGTATTTGTATATATATGCATATTATATGCAAATAGTTCCATTGCAATAATGTAGGTAATGGAAAAAACAAGTAGGATATCTCTGAACATAGGGGCACGGGGCGTTATTCATTTTCCATATCCACTCAAAAATACAATATAATGATTATGATTCTGATGATGGTGACGATGATAATGATAATGAACATAATAATAATAATAATACTAATAATAATAATGATGATAATTATAATAATAATATTCATAAAAACTACAAACAGCAACTACTTCTACTATATACTTGTGACACAAATAATAGATTAGGAGCGGGAAAAGGAGAGGGACTAGAAGGCAACAATAAGTGGACAAAACAAGATTAATGGAAAAGAAATAATAATGAAGCAAGCCCTTTCCACAACTGCACCCATTTAAACAAAATCACACTTAAAAACGGTTTTTGATATTTTGGATTTGTCCTGAATTCATATTTTTCACAAAATTTTGTATAAATGTTGGTAAATTACTCACATCTTCAAGGCCTGGAGTATCATTGTACAGACGTAGATGGCAGTATTGCGGTAGGAGGCGACTCATTGATTTTGGAAGGTAGGGAGTTGAAGCGACACGTTTCCCAATGAAGGAGTCGGAAATGACCATGAACATTTCACAAATTGAGAAATGGTCAATGTAGACATCAAGGTCATCTTCTCTTACTACGCATCTAGGTATTCCAGTTGATGGCAGTTCTTTCTTTGTGACTGGAAAGGTGCGGAAGATGTAAATGGAGAAAGAGACAGAAAGACATTAAAGAAGAGGGACATGGAGAAGAAGAAAAAACACCCATTATCTTTAAATCATCATTACCGAAAGAAAAATAATATATTTAAAATGATGATAAAAAATTGACCATGATGCAGTGTATCCCCGCTACGATTGCAAATATGTCACAGTGATTAACACAAGCAATGACAGTGTGTTAATCTTTGTTTCAACACTAATGTTCTTTTTGTGTCCACACTGTGTTTTCATTGACTGTATACGCACTGTTTCATCATTGTCACCACCCCGTTTTCCAGTTTCACCAAATTGTTTTCTTATTGTTTTCAAACTTTGTTTTCACTCTCTTGACGATGGTTTTTGTTAATGTATTTACAGTGTATTATAACTGTGTCTCAACGTTGTGTCTGCAGAGAGTGTTCCCATTGTCCCACTCTTTGTACCTGCTGTCCACAGTATTACAAGTCTTTCCCTTCCATCTATGCTTCATAATTATGTTTATATTTTGTTCGCAATGTTCCAACATTGTGTTTGCACATTGTCCAAACCTCTTCATTTGTCACACTTAATTTGCATTGGTTCCAAACCATGTGTTTGTATTGTTTTCACGCCTTAGAGTTAAGGTATTACACTCACCTTTCGTATCGCCATGAGTGAAGTATAGGATGACTTTGGCCTTGGAGGGGTCTGTTAACATCGCACAGTGGGGGATGACTAACTTTAATGGGCTCTCAAACGTGGTTCCCGAAGGTTCACAAACTACACCAGGGGTGACATGAACTTCATTCTCTGCGAAAAGAACACCTGACGGCTGTGCTAGAACCTGAGTTAAATGGCAATAAATCGGGTGCATGAACTTACTATTTTTTATTCAATCTTACACTCTTTTTTTTAGTAGGCTTATCAAAATATAAAGTGTCTAAATTAATTAAAGCATAATCAAACAAAAATAGATGATGGGTACTACAGGAACGAAAAATAGGAGCGAAAACAGACATC